GGGGGGAGAGATAGACTAGGACAGAAAGAGCAAACCACACTAACCACACTAGAGCACCCGCCAACCACCCACGTGTTTTCTAACTGAATGAGAGACCAATCGCACGGTAAGATTTAATAATAAGCTATTGACCGTGCAGGCTGCAGCAGCAGCCACTGTTACAGCTGACGTGTCCCTCACAGTACATCTACAATATTTGTATCGTTTTTAATTTTAGTAGAGGTTTTACGGCGCTCGCAACTGCATAAGGTCATTTATTATGAGCGCCAGAAGATAAGAGGTGTTACAAGAGAGTAACAAACATAAAAAAAGAAGAAGGGGTGATAAGGACGATAGATGTTTGATAGGAAAGAAGAAGCAAACCACACCAAAGCACCCGCCAACCACCCACATACATGTATCAATGTGAGCCAACAACAAATCAACAGGACACGCCACGCCGCACGGCGCAACACGGAACGTAATATCATAATGCTCATTATAAAGTATCAAATCGATAAAATTATTATAACGATGTAATACGGTTTTAAATCGTGTTCAAACCATTTCTGTCTTCAGGGGTAGAAGGCAAGGGGGAAAAAAAGAATTATTTTTTAAAAAGAGGAAACAAAAAGAAAAGAAAAATACAGAAAAGGGAAAAACAGAAGACAAGAAAAGAAAAAAAGAAGAAAAGAAAAAAAGAAGAAAAGAAAAAAAAGAAAAAGAAAAAAAGAAGAAAAAAAAGAAGAACAAGAAAAAAAGAAGAAAAGAGACAGAAAAAAAGAATAATCCCCCCCCCCTCCCCGCGCTCTCCCCTCGTGGTTACTAACTTCATTAACTCTTACACGTTCCCGACGATTTCTTTCATAAATCCTGGCATTACACGCGGGCCGACTGTGCATAATCCCCGGGCTGATTCGGGTTAATCTGATCACATCACACTAGGGGGCGCAATCTGTTACTGGCATGCGCTCCCCGGGACGCAGAAAGGAATTCCGAATCTGTTTTCATGATTCATGAATTTAGAATATTTGGTATTATTACTTTTTTTCCTCGTTTTTTTTAATGGTTTTTTTTTTTCTAAACCTAAAACCCGTCCTGTCAACGGGGTCATTATGTCTAGCACACGAACATGCATAAACGCACTCTCTCTCTTTCTTTCTCTCTCTCTCTCTCTCTCTCTTTCTCTCTCTCTCTCTCTCTCTCTCTCTCTC